GCATCAACCGATTGGACGAGGGTTGTCTGTGATAAATCGCTCCACCGCTAGTGGCACCGTTCAAGAACATTTCTCTTACTTATCGTTTTTATAAATTTCCATTTACTTTATACACGAAAATTTTCATTCACTCTATTTTCTCTTAAAGTAAGGCGTACCGAAGTTTTTTGCCTTCGATTTTATCTCACATTTGTAGCGAATGTAACTGAATAAGATTTAAGTTTGATAATTTAAAAGTTGAATAGGTCGACGCACAAAGTAGCGAGCCAATTGTGTTTCTACTTTATTTACCTGAGAGTAGACAATAAGAGTGTCTCCACACAATCAGCCCGACGAGAAAGTTGATTGTTTGTGTTCCATTCAACTTCACAATAGAGAAAATGAAGAGAGCCAATTCTTTTTGCGATAGCTTTTATCCGCCATTTTCTTCGCTTGCCGAAAGTTTGCATTTAGATTTTACCTCTTTGCGAGTGCATTAGACACTCGGCATATATTTACTTGGGATTAAGAACTCGTTGTAATTCCTTAAGGAAAAAAATAAGGTAAAACGTTTGTTGAAGCTTTATACCAAACAAAGAGGCTTTGTGTTTTATTTTTCATCTTTGGGATAACGGTATAGGTCACAGAAGGAGGACTAATGTTTGTTGTAATAAACAGTCACTTAGTATCATAAAGTTCTCATGATTTTGATGTTAAATATTCAAGATCTCGTTTGGTTTTGATGATAAGGTTATAATTATGTAAGTGGTTATTAAGTAAAAAATAAATTGATTACAACCTATGTACAAATAACTAGATCTTCACGCGCGGCTTCTACCGCATGACATTATAAAACCATTATTTTATTTTTTACATTTGTGAACTTCTCAATTGCAAATGTCAAAATTCAATTGCACAAATGACAACCATGGCAACCTTGATTCTTTAATGTTAGCAGCTTTTAGTTTATGGTCCCTTTTCCACATGAAGGTATTTTTCCAATATATTTACGAGTACCGCCTAAGGTTAATAGCGTGATAGATAGAATACATAGCCTAAAGCGTGTCGTAATTGTAGAGCTTTTTATTAAAGAAATTATTATTTAAAAACATAACACGCCACGAAGTAGTGTGTGTACGCTTTATTTTATTAGTATAGAACTATAGATAGAGCATGTCAAAACATCACTTAGGATACATTCAACATTTGCAGAATCATCGTCTTTAAGATATCCATCCAATGTTTTGTTAATGAACATTGTCAGCATGAGAGTTGGGAAATAAAAGTTTCATTAACTATAACGTCAGATGGGACAATTCCCGAGCATCTCTTAATTATAGCGCTGCGTATTACAATAATGAAGCGAAACAATAACAAAAGTTCGGACCTCGAGCAGCCAATGGACAACTTCACCGCTGCTCCACTGAGTGCTCACTTCTAATGAAAACTTGCTTGTTATCGTGAATATAAAACATCATTATATTACACAAAATGCAACGAAATGCTGCTGAGTACCATTAAGCGAATGTCGTTCGTATTATTAATAAAGATAAAAAATTTATGCAAGATTTAAACGCTTTTATACATATACGTGACAAAATTGAAATGTGTTACATAGAAAAATATATCGAAATTCTCGACGTCACGAATTCGAGGCCTAGGGCTGTATAAAGTCGGTTATCGACGCCTACAATAAGTCGCGTTTTATACGGTTATTATAGCATCATAAACGCCACCGGCCGGTGTTTCATACAGTGCCGGGCATATTATACTGCCTGTGGCCCCAATAGTAGAGCTGCTGGGGGGCAGGGGTCCGAAGGGAGGGGTTCGCCGCCCACTGTCAACGCCACGTGCCGCCCGACAGATGTGTCGAGATATCCGATATCGGGACACACATTCATAATCTTTGTCTGAACCTTTCGCTTCTTATATTAAAATAACGAGTACCAACATCACAGGTGCGAACTGAATTTAAATGAAATTGGGATAACATTTCATATCTTAGATGGTTAGAATACTGAAATATGTTAAAAGTAAATCAGAATTTCACTCTTAATTTAAGACGAATTCTTATAAATTCATTTATCTATACTATTATAATAAAGCGCAAACACACACTTCTTTGTTGCCTAAGATGTCAGCAATTACAGCATATTATTTAATAATTCTTTCTTTAATGAAAAGCCCTACTCTTACGTCACGCTTTAGGCTATAAATTTTCACGCCATTAAACTTTGGGGGTAAATATTTTGGATAAAAGCCCTAATGTGGGAAACAGACCATAAGTTGCTGCCAACATCAAGGAATCAAGGAAGCAAGATTGCCAAGGTTTGTGATGTCATGTCATTTTGACATTTGCAATTGATAATTTTACAAATGTAAACAATAAAATAAAATTTTCATAATTTCATGCGGATGAAGTCGCATGGGAACTGCTAGTTTGATATAAAGACTAATTACATTGATATGTTTATTTATTATTTAACGTTATAATAAACTGTCTCAAAACAAATGCTATCTCAATAATTCGTTTTGTTCTCAGTAGAAACCATTACAATATACAAAAGAGTAACCTTGTGTCTTACATTTTTCTGACAATATCGTAGATATGTGATACAAAAATATCATGTATATCAATGTCTGTCCATTCTTTCGTGACTATAATGGATGTAATGTGAGCTGTTAGTATAACAATCATGTTCGCAAAATCCTTTTCATACTATTAGTTTGTTTATCTAACCTATTGTACGTAACGCAGAGGAATTAATCGAATACACTCCATTTATTTAGAGTGGACGAACAAAGGGAACGTGAAACCTAAAACTTTTTACGTTGGCGGTGACAATGCTATTTCTCTGAGTTCTTTTAACATTTTATTTGTAACTTTAGAGTATGTTTACAAGTTTTTGATAACCAAATTGTGTCTAATACATTGACGAGATTTTATAGGTCGATTTGAATTATCTAATTCAAGTGATTATTATTTAGAATGTTTTTTTTTCTCATATATTTGTATTTTAGCGACTATACGAATTTAGATTGTTATCTTTTATCTACACGCTGTATAAAGAATACGTAAAATATTTGCCAACCATGCTCAATATCACACTAAAACAAAGTTAAGTACCTCCCTTAGAAACCATACTGTGTGTAGAGTGAAGTTTATATTTTAATTTGGAACGATACATTTTGTAGTTTGAATACATTTATATTTACCGTAATTAAACCGAGGTTTAATAAACCAACATAAAGTAGATGTATACGTAGAAAAGGGTCAGGTTTACCTATAGTGGGCCCTTATTTACCTTTTCAGGGTCAGACTATCTCTATTTCGACTCCCACGTAAGGTCCGACGAAGCGTGTATACCAAATGCGTCCCAGTTTTCTCGAACAGGTCGGCTTGTTTGGTTAGGTTTGTTAGAAGAGATAAATTAAGGTGACAAATTATACATAAATTATTGGAAATCAATACTTCGTTATACATTAAACCTATTACTTTCCTATTATTCATGCTTTAACAAATGTTTTAGTGACTTTCCAAATATTATGTACCTAATGTAGTTAGTTCTCCTTACTAATGTTATAAATACAAAATTTTAGATAGATGGATGGATATTTGTTAGAGTTTGTAGCTTAAACCGCCGAATGGATCGTGATGAAATAACATAAATCAGTGTTGCCTTGATAACTTAACTAGGATTCCTGTTTTTAGTAGCCAAGGACTTTCCTTACAAAGTGATAAATTTTTGGTGAGATACAAAAAGAAAAGAAAAGAGAAAATAATGAACATAGTTTGGAAACACGTATGCTACATATTAAGTTTTTTTTTAATTCTTGGCTGACGGGGTAACAGGCTGAAGATTGTATAAGCTTCTGAATAATGTTGTTTGTTATATGGGTTGAATAAAGCGTACGTATATTTCTTAATCATTAGGCAGACAAACACTCATCGCCTTCAATTGTTTCTAACTTTACAGAAAGTTCGTTCTCGTCATGTCATTACGCGATACCGGGGGAGGCGTCATCTAACTTCAGAGATTTATCACGTGACATATCGTTAACTTAAGAGTAACTTGTTTTACTAAATTCAATTGTCACATTTTCACTTTTAACTAGTTATTTCTCGAGACATCCTTCTGATGAGTCTAATTCTAGAATAAAATACAGTCTATGTTACTCAGTGATAATCTTATTAATGACTGAAGAATGTTTTATACTTGTCCAGTAGTTTTCAAGTGTAATAATTACTTACAAAAATGTAACCTCGTATATTTGTACAGTACTAGTAGATGTCTGGTACTTTCATAACTAAATGTCCGCTAACAAGTTTCGGGTTGGTATTTTAACAATAACATGTTTACATTTTTTTATTACAAAATAATATGTATTTTACGTAATTCATACCCAGCAAGATCGAAGATATGTTTAAATTAATTTCCTTACTCATAAAACTAATATAACGTGTTATTGTATTAAAATTTATACCTAAAAATAAATTTCTCTAATTATCTTCGATAATTTACAAGCCTCTTTTCGTTTTTCATGACCGCTACAAGTCGCTTTATCTGTTGCCAAAGTTGATTGACACCCCTTTTGAAATCAACCTGACGTAAATTGGCTTTAATTAAAACAAAATCAAAGATAGACAAGCTAACGAGGTAACTTTGTGAAGTTACTGATGGATTTTTTTTTCAAATTTGCGTTTTAATACAACGTTCAAAATGTAACTAAAAGAAATTTAGCTTATTTTTATTTAAGTTATAGAATTTTGTGGCAACACTTTTTACCAAATGCAGAAATTACTGATTCTTTTTAAATACTTATTTGTTATCCAGAATAAATTAATTACAAATTATTATTACAATTTTTTTCTATAACCGTGAATCCATAATTCTATAAAATTAGAGTCCTATAAGAAAACCGTTCCCAAAATCCTGATCTAAATTTCTGTTCCTTCCAATACTAAAGATAATACAATTTTTAGTAGATTTAATTCTAATTATGTATTTCCTTTGTTTCAGGCTTCGGCTTTGTCACATTTCAAAGTGAAGATATAGTGGACAAAGTGTGCGAGATCCATTTTCACGAAATTAACAACAAAATGGTAAGTCTACAATTTTATCTTTTAACATTTATAGCCGGAATAATGGTGAAGGTGAACTTGATCTCCAAATCTCTAGTTAGCCATCAATTAGAGACAAGATCAAAGTTGGCGGCTCTCCAACTGTTGCATGTTTAGATTTTTTACGCCGTGAAAGATTTAACATATACCTATGAATCTTTTTAGAGGTTAACCCAAGTTCAAATGCTTAACGACAATATTTTATAGTAAAGATAGTGAGTTAGCTTTCAATATATTGCAAGTTTTATATATATGTAAATTGTAGATTCACACTTACATACAACCTTACTATGAAATTAGAAATTTTAGGACTCGACTGAATTTATCGTTACCATCCTCGCGGCGTTTAATAGCACTAATAAAAGTAATTATAGTATAATTACTACAGCAATAAAATCAGAAATACAAAGTTAGTAATTAACTCTATTAGTAATAATGCAAGCGTTGTTCATTAAATTAAAACACGAAGCTATATTAATAACACTTTACTAAGTTACAATACACACTTTTCCTTTTTTTCCTTACACTTTGAAACGATATATTATACCAAGTAGATTTCTATTATATTAGCGTTTTTCTTAAAAAAACTCTATGCAAAAAGCGATCGGATAGGTGATGACTCTACTTTTTACTACCTTTTGTTTATGGCGGCTAATCATCGTAGCGTTTCATTAGAGAATAAACAATACCTCTACATTAAAAACCATATCTACTCAATCGTGTGATGTCTACTTTAATGTGGATTTTGAATATTCTAGTAACATGGGTGTATGGTAAGCTTCATTGTTGCCAGCTTCTCCCGCTGCCATTATCTTTTCGAGTCGTTGAAAAGAACGGGCTCCGAACCACCCTACGTTGTCGATGCATATTCGAGATTATTAATGCTCGTGTTTTTGTCTCGCCCCATTGTCTCGGTGCCGTAATGGCTGTACGAATCTCGCTGCATGTGTCGGGTGGAAGAAATCGCGGGGGTGATATTCGCCCTAAGTGGAGCAAACAACGAACAAAGACATCAAACAAATGGGTAGTGTTTTAGAGTAATTACAGTCCGCTTCCGTACGAAACGAGAGGTGTGCATAGCGTTCTCTACCCTCTTCGCTCACGACGCGTAATGTATCGCCGTACTTACTCTAAAAATCTGTCCTCCAACGTGGTATCTGACATGACAATTTTTCAATATGACATTTAAGCATCGGTTCACTAACTTTGCAAACACTTGATGTGATTCTAAAAAGGGGGTATAATAAACACACTTCCAACCCTATATTCACCATACCCAGGATTAGATCGATGTTTTCGGTCCTAAATAACAGCAGTTTAATTTTTTTCGGGATTGTCCCTCCGTTATGACCCTTTGTGTACAAGTTTACCGATTTCCATTACCCTAATATGTCCAGTAATGTCCATTACCCTTGAAATGTGTTAATTGTGAGATTTCCAAGGCTTCCTAGTTGCAAGTATATCATGAAACTGTATTTTAAAGTTACATTTACATACGCGATAAAGAACAAGCGTAGCGGTACAAGTTTCCTGCACAGTGGTTGCCCTCGTAAATTTAATATGTCATCTCCTATATTAAAATGGTCGTTAAGCTAATAGCTGCTCCGCCCCGTGTGAGAGTGATAGGGTGATGCCGTAGCACACTTTGAATAACAAAAAAACCTTAATTCCCGTTCATGAAAAAAGGAAGACGTGAAATGGCGGGAGCGGTTTAAGGCGTGAATGATTTATAACCTCAAACTTATAAGCCGGCATTGTGGGCTTTTGTTCTAAATTCCTTTTCAATTTAATTCTTTTAAGTGCTAGGTATTATAATAATGGTGTGGACAGGAATAACGAGTTTGAACTTTGCAATTATTGCGCTTATCAAAAGAAAATAATTTTAAAAATCAACTTTTTCTGTAACAAGTAACTTCGTTTTTCATTATTTTCTGGGGGTTTTACTTAGTTTAATTCATCTTTCTCTACTTTTTGCACACTGAAAATAACACATATAATGTTAAACAAATGTTAATCGTGTCAAGTGAGAAAAATTAACATTATTACACAGAAAGCTGTAACTACAAATTACCGTCACTCCATTATAACAGTCCTAATTGCTTCCGCTTACCATGAATTTTAACAGCAACACAGCAACGTCCCACAAAACGTGTTAAATATAGTGCAGTTTACGTCCTACCCCCGACATCAATTTCTATTTTCCGGATTTAAGCTGGCGGAAATTCAGCCAACACCTGCGACTTCACTTAACAAAATCACAGCTGCGTTAAGCAACCTGTGATAAAGTGCGTCTTGTACACGAAGAAAATATTTTCTCTACAAAGTAATATCCTCCGATTTTTATTATTTATTTTAACTTCATTAATCATTTAATACAAATATTTCAACTACCTTTGCATTTTATTTCACCACACTTATTTAAAAGTTCTCATCCAACGTAAAACTCACAAAAAATCAGTCTTAAACAAAATTTCACTGTAGAAACATTAAAAAAATCATTACCTATAAACACTTCAACGAAAGCATTTGGGTAACGTATATTTTTCTCTCCAATCGTACACGAGCCTAACAAATGGTTTCCGTTTAGGAAATAACACTAAAAGTAGGCACATTTGAAACTGGCGCTTAAATCTTGTGATCCTCAATCGCCGTATCTCCTCCCGACTTAAATAGCCGATGTACGGTCGCTAACGGAACCTTTTCTTTACTGCTGATCAGGATTGATCTTAAGATGTAAAAATATTGAATAGTAATGTCGTAAAGAGCGAGTTAGAACGGTAAAAACATTGCTTAATCGATTTGGCAAATACTTTTCAGCATAACACAAATCGTATCGTAATCGAATAGTAAATGCCTCCGCACACTACAGACTTTTTATTGGCCGACTATTTAGTCAGGCGCTTAATCAGTATGAACATTCTATTCATGTTCATACTGCGCACTACACTGATATGATTTGGGTTTACAGCAAGATCCGATCAAAACACTATAGGCAGGCAAGTCTCTAGTCTGCGGGCTCTTAATAATATTCAACGTGGCAAACTTATTGCCTCTGTCTTAAGGATTTTTTAGCAAACATTGGGTTTGTCAGTATTAGTTTTACAGTAGAAATTAAACAAAAGTGTAATATTCAAGCTTTATTTTTATTAGGTTATACATGAGACCTTGTAGGTATATAGAGGTTTATTGGTGAATCTTCAATCGTCTGATTTGGACGCGGCGCGGCGAGGCGACGGCAAACAATCAATCACCCGTTCCTTCGGAACTGTGATTACCATAAACTTGCCGTTTTACTAAGACCCGACCCGCTTCTTCTACGCACTATCGATTTGTCCGCGCCCATTCTAGCGCCTTCTATATATCAACCGCTTTTTGTGACTCCCCTTTCATTGAAACTTGCAATTGGCGACTTGTAAGAAAATTTCGACGAGATTTTCTCCGATCTTTTCTTTAAAGATTTTTTTTAGAGTTTCCTTAACTTTTTATTGAAAAGTAACTTTGAACCTTTTTATAGAGAATTCCTTTTCTTAAAGAAGTTGGTAGCAATCACGGTGGAAAATTTTGGTCGGTAATGAAAACTTTTTAAAATTCTCAAAATATTTAACCCTATAAATTAATATTTTTGGATAATCCTATTAATACAATAGATATTTGATGAAATTTAACGTTACGGATTAAAATGAATACAAACTTTTTACTATAAAAGTATTTTTGTTAAAATATCCGAACTACAAATAAAATTTCCATCAGTTTGCATAGGTCAATATTAATGGTACATTCTATACATATATAGATACAAGCTATTGCTTTCAGAACAAGCAACTAATTTCCTATGGAGTATACGATATAAATTTAATGGTTTTAAGGCATACAGACACGCAAGTCCCATGTGACGCAAACAACTTTAAGCGAACGCAAAGACGTAAATTATAGCTCAACAGGCCCTTCCTGCTGTTAACGATTCCTACTCGAACTTAAATTTGAAGCGTGAAAGAAAATTAATTAATCACACGAGGCGCAGCTGAACTCATGTAGACGCGAACCAACGCCTACACGACGTTACTCAGCTCGATAACTAATATGTTGGAAACTTTATCGTAAATCTATAATAAAAATTACTGTAATTTAGGTAGGATTTTGTATATTCGACTTTAGTAATTGAAACTGTAGTATTGTTTCGTAGTAAAGTAGTGACAATTTCTACGGCAGTAGTCACCAATAATGTCTATACATTAGGTTTTGTTCATTATCGTAGCGTAGCATCTTCGTTTTCATTACCGAGGAGTTAGGAGACGGTCTGCGATAAATAGCGACCCAGGAGGAGTCGAGGAACGGTCGCTAAATTTCTTGCATACAATTTGGTTTACATTAGAGGTGGTGAACTCGGTCTTCTCTCGAGAGTCGTAGGAAAGTCTCGTGCAGATTCATGCGCTGGGAGTTACGAGCGTAGTGCCCGAGCGCCCGAACGCCACAGACCTTAATCTAGTCGACGCTGCGACACGCCACCGCCGCTGGCGCCCGCCGCCCCTATTTAATTACCACTAATTGCCACAGCTTATACTAATTAATACGTACATCATAAACTTTCTCGAAAATCTTATTTATACTCAAATTGAATTTGTTTACTATTCTGAAAATTTTTGCATAATCATCGATGTCCAAATATGAGCATGCGAATATTTTTCTATCTCTGTTGGAAGTTTACCTGAATTTTCTTATATTAGTTATTGTGTGAAAGGTAGTATTAGTTAAGCAACGAGTCTACGATAATCGAGTCCACTTATAATTGCAAACGACACTTCTCTGTGACATCCAATACTTATCTGATTTTTCTAGGAACGCTAGTTAATCTATGATTTATTTGTGAATTATTTTTACATGAATTATATTACTCAACTAATATTACTTAGATGTATGAAATACTAAATACTAAAAAAAGAAGGCCATCTTGAATAATAAAAAACAGGTATTATTCCCGTCCA